ATGTGCCACTGATTGAGTATGGTATGACTTTAATATCCTATTCAATTCGACCTTGTGTACTTGTCTGTGGTATGAGCGGCACTGTTTTGTTCACAGAAACAGAACTCTAAGTTATTACTTGGACTGCAATAGCCACAAAGCATTCTATTTCTCCAAACAAAGCTCCTGATATTATAGATGTACAGCATGAAAAGAACATACCTATTTCAATGCATGTCATATAAAAATGCTTAACAACACTTTACACAAATGGCTTTCAAATAATTTTATAAATTAAGGGGAACAGGTATGAGTAGCCATGAATTTTCTTATGCCAATTCTTTTTACAAGCACACTTACTTAGCGATACTTAATCACTAAATTCTATGAGGAAAATTAAAGAAACGAGAAGTTTAAGGCAGCCTCAGGAATTCCAAAAAGAAGGGAAAAGAAAAAAAAATGTTATATATCCCCAGTGCCTTAAAAGAATAAAGTATTGCACAAAAAAAATTGCTAAAAAATGGATAAAGGTCATATCTGAAATCCAAGAATACGAAAAAAGAAAAACAAAAAGGAAGCAATGACTACTGAGTTGTGCCCACACACCTCTTGATTAACAAGTAAACCATGAGCTAGACTGCCAGAATTCAAATTTTAAATTTTAATTTGTGAGCACGTGTGTATACACGTTTATATTGTGGGCAAAATCACTTTACATTAGGTGTTATACTATCCAGAATGCAGGCCCTTGGCCACAGCAGGCTATGCCAGACTACATTAGATGTCTGTGCTTGCTGTACACAAAGTGGAGAGACTTGAGATGTTACCGAGGGTGATCTAGAAAGCTACACAGTGTGTGAGCAGTCAGAGCAAGCCAGTAAGAAACCCCATGTGTATGTAAGTGATTGGCCTCTTTCTTCCCTTTTGTTCCCTTAAAGCACCAGGGTTCCTCTGGGTAGACAGGTCATGCTGGGCAGGGAACAGCTGGCTCCATCCCTTCCCAGCCAGGGAGGTTCAGCCCGTGTTCTCTGGGCAGGATTAAGGATCCTGCTCCACACACATGGCAATGCTGGGGAGTAGAAGCCTCTGTGCCTCCCCACCAGCATACCTAGCTAAGAAGAAACAAATCTTAGAGGGGAACATAAGCAAGTAAGAGGGAATAAATGCTCTTAATCCTCAGGCAATGGGCTAGAAGACACCTGGATTACAGGTGGTTTCATCAAATTTCTAACATAAATGTAGCTTTGTGAATATACTCACATTTCCCTGGTCTCAACCAAATCCTTTAGCCACTAGCT